ATTCTTTCACCTCAGTCTCCTGAGTAGCTGGGACTACAGGTACATGCCACTACACCCAGATAATTGTTTCTGTTTTTTTTTTTTTTTTGTTTGTTTTTTTTTTTTTTGTAGAGATGGGGTTTTGCTATGTTGGCCAGACTGGGCTCGAACTGCTGGATTCAAGAGATCCACCTGCCTTAGCCTCCCAAAGTGCTGGGATTACAGGCTTGAGCCACCGTGCTCTGCTGGTGGTATTATTTTTAATGCACAGCAGAAGTTCTTTGAGCATCTTCTTTGGCCATCTCTTTCGTTCTCAATGCCTTTTGCAAACTTAGGAAGGAGCTAAAATACAAAACTCTCCCCACCCCTTCCCTCCCAGGAATTCCTGTGTGTGCTCTCAAATATTCCCTTTCATCCATCTGAAGCTCCTCATTCCCAGCATTCTGCTCCTCATTCTACCTCAGCTCTTCGTGATCAGGGTTTATCTAACCTTTCTGGCTTCTTGAAGCCACCTCTCTTTACTCAGTGTTCAGACTTTGCACAAGAGAGAAGAGCTCCAAAACCATTTCAGCCAGCAGCAGGAGCAGGGAGAGAGATTGCACATATGTGACTATTTGTTGTTGTTTCTCTGCCACAGTTCAGTGCGTTCTATGAGGAAGAGGAATGTATATGTTCTAGCTTTGAGCAAATGAGTAGATGAGGGTCCATTTGTGGAGACAGGAAACACAGGAGAAGTGATTTTGAGGAAAACTTGAGATCAATGTGAGAGTTTTGAGTCTAGGCTGCCTTTTAGATGGTCTAGAGAAGCTGTCCACAATAGTGTGCTTGGAGCTGCCTTGTACTGGCATGTGAAGCAATTGTTAAACTCTCAGGAATTGTAAACATTGCATTGTTAAAAAGCAATTGTATAAATACACAATTAAATAAAAAAATTGTATAAATATACAATTGAATAAAAATAATTGTATATACAATTAAATAAAAATTAAATGAATTACATTGAAAACAAGGAAAATAGATACTCAGAACTCATCTCTCTCTACATTTGAGTACTGTCTGTGCTTCTAAAGTCACTTAAGCCTGCTGTGCCTGCATGGTGGAAACCACACAGTGGCTTGCTACTGCACTTTTCTTGCCTTCGTGATGTTAGATTGCTATCTGGAAATTGGCCATGTTGGGAGTAAACTACAGAGACTGGCAAATGCTGTGAATCAAGGACTTCTCTTCCTTCCTAAGAGCCAGCAGTGAAACAGTTATCACCACATAATATCCAAGAGACATTTGGATAAATGAATCTAAGCTCAGGAGACAAATCTGGACTGGAGATACCACCGTGGGAGGCACAGACTTGATGCGGGCAGCTACATGGGCTGGCGATGGGGTCCCAGATCGAGAAGGACCTCATGTTTGGTTTAATGCTCTGCTATTGCTATCATAACATTCTTAATTTCTGAAAAAGAGGCGACACATCTTTATTTTACACTAGGCTAATATAGGTGATAGGGAATTTCAGGATGTTTGGGAAGGGCGTTGCTTAATTGATTTCCTTCCATTCCACATGACAAGTCGATTAGTATTTTGTCTTACTCACCTATGTGGTAACATTTTCACAGATATTTTCCCCATCCATCCCTCAACTTGTGTATTCTCCACAATCAGCTCATAAAATTTCCCTTGTCTCTTTCTTCCCTGTATTGTTCTTTGGCCTTCTTTTGAAACCTGTTAATTTTTTTTTTTTTTTTTTTTTACTTTTATTTTAGGTTCAGGGGTACATGTGCAGGTTTGTTGTATAGGTGACCCGTGTCATGGGGGTTTGTTGTACAGATTATTTCCTCGCCCAGGCACTAAGCTTAGTACCCAATAGTTACTTTTTCTGCTCCTCACCCTCCTTCCTCTCTCCATCAAGTAGGCCCCAGTGTCTGTTGTTCCCTTCTTTGTGTCGGTGAGTTCTCCTCATTTAGCTCCTGCTTACACATGAGAACATGTGGATATTTGACTTTTTGTTCCCGTGCTTGAACTGTTAACTTTCAAGGCATCAACGTATTGCATGCTTTAAAAAAAAGTTTCTTCAGAACAGAGATCTTGAAGGAAAAAAAAAAAAGTTTCTCTCCAGACTGCAATGTGCCACACGTTCATTTTTCATCGTGGTGTGACAGTGATTACGGAACCTGTGGAATAAGACAGAACTGGGTTTAAACTCTCTTTTTTCGAATCCTTAGAACCTGTGAATGAGTTTGAACTCCTGTGTCTGTGACCTGAGGTAAATTTTGACTTCTCTACCTTTCGGTTTCCTCATCTGAGGAAAAAGTAATCTTTACCTCTGAAGGTTATTGTGAATATTAATTAGATAATCTACAGAAAGTGCCTTACATAATGCCTAGTCCGTGGTTACAGTGTTCAATTAATGGCAGTTATTCCTTTTATTCATACATGATGAATTAGGAATGTCAGTAATGAAACTTGGGACACGACACATGGTAGAAAAGCCTTAGGAGGAATGAAGGGAACATGGCAGAGATGAGCTGCAAGACTTCAACTCTTTAAACATTTTCCTGGTCCCACAATATGTATGTCCTAGACTGGATTGGACAAAGCGACTTTTTACTGGGGCTCTTAGTATTCTCACAAGTCCTGTCCCGTTATTCCTCAGACAGAGGTAATCTACACAAACGGTGTGGATGTGGGCTGTTGGACAACCAATCATTCAGCCTTCTTTTTTCAGTGAAAAAGCCTTTCCTTTCCAGCCTTCTTGCTGCAGTGAAAAATCCGGCCCTGGCGTAAAGCTTGGCACAGGGTCGGCAGTCAACGTTGTGTAGCTTTTCCTCTCCCCTGCCGTGGCCCCAGCTTCTAGCCCAGCGCCTGGCACACAGGAGGCGTCCATTTATTGAGTGAGCGCACGATAATGTCACCCGTTTCTCCCTCTTCCCCCAAACCCCTGTTCTTGCGCCTCTGCCCGACGCAGCCAGCACATCCCCGGGCGCCAGGCCTGGTTCACCGACTCGCTCCCCGCGCCAGGCTGCGGTTTCTATGGAAACGGCGGGAAATAACAACTCCTTTCCCCCCGGGCGAGCGAGGCCCGCGGAGGTAACAGCAGCTGCAGGAGCGGCGTGAGCCACGCGCGCCGCCGCGGAGGTGCCCGCGGTGCCACCGAGCCGCTGCGCCCCGCCCCCCGCCCCCCGCGCGGCCGGCGCCCGAGCCCCCTCCCCTCGCCAGCGCGCTTGCGTCGGTAGGTACCACCGCGGAGGGCACCTCCCGGCCGCCCCCAGCCAGGGCCCGCTGGCGCGCTGCCTGCTGTGCTCACGCGACAGGCGCTGGGGCTTCCCCGCCGGGCGGCGCTCCTCAGCGGGGAGGCGGGGAGGGGGTCCTAGACACGCGAGTCTTCGCTCTGTTTCTTATTCACTCATTCATTCATTCATTCACTTAAATTCCTTCCTTCCTCCCGCCCTCCCTCCTTCCTTCCTTCCTCTTTCTCTCCCTCCCTCCTCCCCTTCCTTTCCTTCTCCTTCCTTCCTTCTTTTCTTCCTTCCCTCCCTCCCTCCCTCCTTCCCTCCTTCCCACCTTCCCTTCTTCCCTTCTTCCTTCCTTCCTTCCTTCCTTCCATGATGGGGTCTTACTGTGTTGCTCAGGTTACTCTCAAACTCCTGGGATCAAGTGAGCTTCCTGCCTCAGTTTCCCAAAGTGCTGGGATTATAGACATGAGTTACTGGACCTCCCCTCTCTCTATATACACAATTACATACATATATATACATATATATATATATATATATATATATATATATATATATATTTATTTATTTATTTATTTTGGCTGAGACACGGTCTTGCTGTTTCTCCCAGGCGGGAGTGCACTGACAAAATCATAGCTTACTGCAGCCTCGACCTCCTGAGCGCCAGTGATCCTCCTGCCTCAGCCTCTGCTATAGCAGGGTCCACAGGCACACACAATGCCCACCTACTTCATTTTTATTTTATTTTTTAATTATAGAGACGGGATCAGGTTGGTCTCAAACTCCTGCCTCAAGCGATCACAGGCGCATTGTAGAGACCGGGGTTCCCCAGTGTTTCCCAGGCTGGTATAGAACTCCTGGCCTCAGTCATTCCTCCCGCCTCGGCCTCTCAAAGTACTGGAATTTGCAGGTGTAAGCCACGGAGCCTGGCTTTGCACCGCTTCTCTGAATGCGCTTTAGACATTATTTTCTAGCAAAAAAACAAAAACGAAAACAAAAACAAAACAACAAAAACCAAAACCAAAACCAAACAAACCAAAAAAAAAACTGGGCAAATACAGCCAGGAACTTAATTACTTTCATTTGGGAGCAAGCAGGAGATTGAGGGGTAAGGATACAAGAGGAGGGAAAAGAAACATGAAGCTGTTTGGAAAGAGTAGCACAGATCCGAGGCAAGAAATTGGGATATGTGTGTGTGCGTGTGTGTGTGTGTGTGTGTTGTGTGTCCTCCTCTCTCCTGCTCTGTGTGTGTGTGTGTGTGTGTGTCCTGCTCTCTCCTTCTGCCCTCACTTGGCGGGGTGTGTGTGTGTGTGTGTGTCCTCCTCTCTCCTGCTGTGTGTGTGTGTGTGTGTCCTGCTCTCTCCTTCTGCCCTCACTCGGCGGGCGGTGTGTGTGTGTGTGTGTGTGTGTCCTCCTCTCTCCTTCTGCGCTCACGCGGCGGGGTGTGTGTGTGTGTGTGTGTGTCCTCTCTCCTGCTGTGTGTGTGTGTGTGTGTGTGTTGTGTGTCCTCCTCTCTCCTGCTGTGTGTGTGTGTGTGTCCTCCTCTCTCCTTCTGCCCTCACTCGGCGGGCTGTGTGTGTGTGTTGTGTGTGTGTGTTGTGTGTGTGTCCTCCTCTCTCCTTCTGCCCTCACTTGGCGGGCTGTGTGTGTGTGTGTTGTGTGTGTGTCCTGCTCTCTCCTTCTGCCCTCACTTGGCGGGCTGTGTGTGTGTGTGTTGTGTGTGTGTCCTCCTCTCTCCTTCTGCCCTCACTTGGCGGGCTGTGTGTGTGTGTGTGTGTGTGTGTCCTCCTCTCTCCTTCTGCGCTCACGCGGCGAGCCTGTGGGAAGGCCCCGCGCGGCTCGCGTTCCTGCACCTGCTCCGAGGCGGTCCACCTGGATTCTGCCGGTGGCAGGAGAAGGAGCAGGTGCGCTGCGCACGGCGGCCGCTGATTGGTCGTGCGCGCCACGGTGAAAAACTTGAGCGTCTCCCCCGAGTCCTGCGGCTCCGAGCGTCTCCGCGGGGTGGACGCCCGGCGCACGGCCGTTACTTCTCTTTCACCTGTGCATTCGTCAGTTTCTCGTCCGTTTCAGGAGGCGATCCCGCGCCCTGGGTGCGCTGAGGCCTCCGGGGCCGCGGAGGCGCCTCCCCTCGGCGAGCGGGGAAGATGAGCGGCGGCAGCGCCAGGTCCAGCCACCTGTCGCAGCCCGTGGTGAAGAGCGTGCTGGTGTACCGCAACGGGGACCCCTTCTTCGCGGGGCGCCGCGTCGTCATCCATGAGAAGAAGGTGTCCAGCTTCGACGTCTTCCTCCAGGAGGTGACCGGCGGCGTCCGGGCGCCCTTCGGGGCGGTCAGGAACATCTACACCCCGCGGACCGGCCACCGCATCCGGAAGCTAGACCAGATCCAGAGCGGGGGCAACTACGTGGCTGGAGGCCGGGAAGCCTTCAAGAAACTCAAGTGAGTCGGTCTCCCCCAGCGCCCACCGTGTCGGGTGCCCGACGTGCGGGGTCGCGGTGAGGAATCGCAGACCTCTACCCCACCGCACCCCAGTGGGTGAGGGGCTGGGACTGCTTAGTGTGATGGATGCCTCTCAAAACTCCGGTTGCAGCTGGGCGGGCAGGTGTTAGCACTGTGGCTGGAGAAGGAATTTCAGCTGGGTAGCAGTAGGAGCCAACTTAAAATCTGCGTATAAACAAGAGGAACCTTTTTAAAAAAAAAGTATCCTTGAAGGCCGGGCGCGGTGGCTCACGCCTGTAATTCCAGCACTTTGGGAGGCCGTGGCGGGTGGATCACGAGGTCAAGAGATCGAGACCATCCTGGTCAACATGGTGAAACCCCGTCTCTACTAAAAATACAAAAAATTAGCTGGGCATGGTGGCGTGTGCCTGTAATCCCAGCTACTCAGGAGGCTGAGGCAGGAGAATTGCCTGAACCCAGGAGGCGGAGGTTGCGGTGAGCCGAGATCGCGCCATTGCACTCCAGCCTGGGTAACAAGAGTGAAACTCCGTCTCAAAAAAAAAAAAAAAAAAAAAAAAAACAAACCCAAAAAGTATCCTCGAAAAGGTTAGTGACCAAACTGATACTTTTGCTACTTTTGCATTTTCTGTTCAGCTTCTTCTTTCCTCTTCCCGGCCCCCACCCCCACTCCGCCCCCCGCCCGATTTTTTTCCCCCTGGAACTCCATCCTTTTACTTTAAATAAACATTTCTTTTAAAAAATCACTTGCAAGTGTTGGACACTGTATTGCCAGCAGAGGAGACAGTTGCTCTGCATTTCCCATACTGTTTAAATTCTTTCAACCTTTCATTCTATGTAGAATTGACAACACTCACTTTTGTGACCCTGCTCCCACCCCCTGCATGTTTGTGCTGTTAGCATAATGCGGCAAGAGTTTATTGGCTGACTGTATGTGTCGACTTTCTGTGTCCAGTAATGTGATTAGACCTTCAAGGGCAGGGGTCCTTATCTCCAGCTCTTGGAAGGGAGTTCACTCATAGTAAGTGTTCAGTGAATCAAGAAACCGTCAACTCTGGGGAACAAAGATGAACAAGACATGACACCTTGTGTTTAGCAGCTAACATTTTTCATGCAAGGTACAAAGAGATATATGCCATTAGAAAAATAAAGTTATACAGAAACTGTGTGTTGAGAGTTGGTTGGGGTGAGCATTGTTGGACAGGTAGAATTTTATATTCCATTTTTTTTACAGCTTTATTGAGATATATTTCTCACAGCATTTCAGTTGTTTTCAGTGTATTTAGAGTTGTACAACCATCACCACCAACTAATTGTAGTTCATTTCCACCCCTCCCACCAAAATATTTATACCTCCCAATTTCCTCTTTCCCCTGTCATCTGGTAACCACTAATCTATTTTCTGAATCTATGACTTTATCTGTTCTGGACATATCACATAAATGAAATCATACAATATGTGGCCTTTATGTCTGGCTTATTTCACTGACTATAATATTTTCAAGGTCAATCCATGTTGTTGCATGCATCAGTACTTCATTCTTTTTATTGTTGAATAACATTTCATGATTTGGGTATACCACATTTTATATGAATGCTTATCTATTCATCAGTTGATGTATATTTGGGTTGTTTCACATTTTGGCTATTATGAATAATACATCTATGAATATTTGTGTACAAGTTTTCATTCCTCTTTTGTGTATACCTAAGAGTGAAATTGCTGGATCATATGGTAACTGTATTCCATAATTGAATAGAACATTTTAATTGAAATTCATCTTGGGCCCCAGGATAGCAAAAAGTCTTGACCATAAATCTAAGCTTATGAATTCATAAGCATTATTGAATTATTAATAATTAAAATTCAGGCTGGGCACAGTGGCTTACGCCTGTAATCCTAGCACTTTGGGAGGCCGAGGTGGGTGGATCACCTGAGGTCAGGAGTTCAAGACCAGCCTAGCCATCATGGTGAAACCCCATCTTAAAAAAAAAATAAAAATAAAAATAAAGTTTTTTAACTTCATGGAAATGGTTTTCAAATATCACTAAAATTCTTGAACATAATCCTTCCTCTCCTGTATTTGTTTCAATTGAGTTCTAGGTATTCTATTCTACTTTTTGTTATGTCAGACATTCTTTTTATGGAAAGGGAGGGATATATTTAGATTTATTTTTCCCTTCCCTGAAGCTTCTTAAGCATGCTTTGTTCAACTTCATAAAAAAGAGCTAAATGAAACTGTGGGCTTAAAAGAAAACCAGGAGACTGAAGACTGAGTTGTTGATTAGTCCTGTGTCCTTGGGCAAGTCACTTGACTCAGCTAGCCAGTTTCCTAATACAGAAAAGGTACATAACCATTTGTACCTCACAGAGCTGTGATAAAAAGTAAATGCTCTGGATGTGAATGTGTTTTGTAAACGTCAGTGTTATATAAATGTAAGACATCTCCATGACCAGCTTCTTTTGCTACATACTTTATTTTTTATTAAATATTTCCGTATAAAGCAATTTCATGGAAATGAAAGTCTGGTTCCGAATCTATGAACAGCTAAAAATTGTAGACTCACTTTTATAATTCATGTTCTTTTGTATATTGGGTCTTACCAACTCACAGGATTAAAAAAAAAAAAAAAGATACAGTTCCACACCAAATAGAAGGTGGACTCAAATCTCTCGAAGACATTTGCGTGTTATTTCTGTTTTCAGTTCATACACAAAAAAACTGAATTTGCTTTGACAGTGTCCATGGTTAGGTTTCCATGCTGACAGATGACAGTTTTATTTCTGTTAAAGAAGTAGTATCTATGGTTATAATGACAGAAGCCAAGAATACTTGAATGCTGAATATATTTGAAACTTAGCACTTCTAAGTTTATGTATCGAATGGAGCAACTGTCAAAACAAAATAAAGCCCAAATGATATTGAGGATAATTCATGGGCTTTCATTTAGATCCTAAATGATGTTGGGAAAGACGGCAACATCTTTTTCAAATGGAACTGATCAAATTGCAGCTTGAGTTGCTTTCACTTAGATTTTTCTAATATTTTTGAAACATTAACTAAACGTCAGATAGCTATTAAACCTTTATTTTATTGATTTCAAATGTCATACCGTACACTAAAAACCTTTATTTTACAGCAGAGAATTCTAGAGATTATTTTCTCCGAGATGTTCCCTGTGCATTGTTAGAAGTTGATTCTACAACGTTAATCTTGTAGATCTGAAATTACTTTCCTGCACTTGACAGAATATTTTGGTATTATTTCAAAAATCAGCCCCTGCAGATCCACAAGAGACCCATTTTATTGCTAAGACAGAGTGTCTGCACTGTTTTTAAAATATGACTACTATTACATAGGGGCAATGTATGATAATTTCTATAGATCAATTAACTAAAGCGTATTATCCCAAAAGGCAAACAGCAACAGAAAAACATTTCAATAGCCAAAATTAATTCTAACATAAGCTTTTTGGGACAAGTTGGCAATTACAGTAGTTGAGGTAAAGGATTGATCTATCATTATAAATTAAATGTTAGAGTCATACTTTTTAATATTAAAATGTTTATCACATTTTATATATGAAGTACACTTTAGGGACCATTTGAAATTGGAACCACATCACAGTGATATTATATGTAAAGTTGACAAAGGTATACAATTTTCAGGTTGTGCTTATGTGACAGGCAAAGAACGATCACTAGTTAATGTATAGAGCAAATAGTAATGGAATAATAGGGGTCCCCAGAGGTTAACTAGTCCACCCATCCGTTTCTTAGCTGAACCAGTTACCAAAGTCATCCCACATGACTGAGCATTTTTTTTTTTTTTTTAATCATTAAGGTGCTCTCATAGAGAAAATAATTTCTCAGCCTTTCCTAGTTGTTACCCTAATGCATGCTACCAGTACTTTCTTGGACCTCAAGCCTGTGTTTAATGGAACAGTTAAGAAGCTTTGCACATAAGCCTGTCTTTTTAAACATCAAATCTGTAAGAGTTAGAAATATATTGTATATAGTAAGCAGCTACTTATTAAGAGAGAAAAATGTTTCCTAATAGATGTATGTATTTCTACGACTTTCCTTCTCTTGAAGTTTAGTGTAGACACATGTCAGCTCTGGTTGGTGACTCCTAATAGATGTATGTATTTCTACGACTTTCCTTCTCTTGAAGTTTAGTGTAGACACATGTCAGCTCTGGTTAGTGACACTGCAATCAGTTTTCACTATTGTAATTGCTTTTAATTAGTAGCTGTTTGTTTTTGCTTTAAGGTTGAGTATTTCCTATCAGTTGCTATATTTTTAAATTATTTTTTAAAACAAATTACTGACTTAAAGTTTATAAAAGCAACCTGTATTGTTTCTTTGTTTTTTCCCCAGTTACTTGGACATAGGAGAAATCAAGAAAAGACCAATGGAAGTTGTTAATACAGAGGTAATGCAAATATTATTTTGAAGATTCAAATAAATAATGGTGTCACTTGTTTTTTATGGCGTGTCTTAGAGATCTGGACAGCACTAGTTTGTGTCTTAGAGATCTGGACAGCACTAGTTTGATGAGTTCTCTAATGTAAAGAAATGGGACGTTATATGTTTTAAGACAAAGGTAATTCTTTCTTTGAATCATTGTCAGAAATGAAAAGACTGAGTAGGTGTCCTAAGATGAGCAGGATGCCGGGCTGCGGTGGCTCAAGCCTGTAATCCCAGCACTTCGGGAGGCCGAGGCAGGTGGATCACGAGGTCGAGAGATCGAGACCATCCTGGTCAACATGGTGAAACCCCGTCTCTACTAAAAATACAAAAAATTAGCTGGGCGTGGTGGCGCGTGCCTGTAATCCCAGCTACTCAGGAGGCTGAGGCAGGAGAATTGCCTGAACCCAGGAGGCGGAGGTTGCGGTGAGCCGAGATCGCGCCATTGCACTCCAGCCTGGGTAACAAGAGCGAAACTCCGTCTCAAAAAAAAAAAAAAAAAAAAAAAAGATGAGCAGGATATGTCAAGATTAGACACAAAATGTTTTCTCATTTTCTAGCTGCATATTCTCTGATGGAAATCCATGGGAAGGTTCCCTGTCAAGTGAGAAGAGTCTGACCATTGTTAGCTCTGTCTACCAGAGCTGTATCCTCATCCTAACGTGCCTGTGATAACTTAGTTGTGGAAATAGCCAGGATCACTCTGACTGCTCCTGAGGCTTTCAGAGTGGATGAGTAGATTTCATGCTGGACACTTGTGATGTCAGGAAAACACCTGTGTTTTAACTTCTATCAAAGTACAAGTTGAGCATAGTTAGTGAAAGCTTATGTGAAGGTTAGAAAAGGAGCTTGTGAAATATTCAGAATACCACGTTCCATATAGCTTCTGAAACCCCGATGGAGTTTTTAGGTATTCTGTAGGATGTATTCTTTAGTTTGTGGGGGGAAAAAAGATTAAAAACAAAGTTGAGGCCACAGGCTGAGACAGGGAAAATTGTAGTTAGGTCCAAAATGGGCCTCTGTTCACTGGTCCAGACAGCCAGTCTTCCCATTCGGACCCGAAATAAACAGGTGCTTCCAATGGGTAAGTTTTGCCAATGAAGAACTGACCAACAGGAAAAGTAATAGTCCAGAGCCCCAGAGGGACTCTCCTCAACCCCCACCATTTCCTCTCACATCATGTTTGTGCCTAATAGGTCCCTCTAGAAAAAATATTGCATAAGAAAAAATTCTACTTGTGCAGTATTTGGAGAAGATGAAGTTATACTCCTTATTCAAATAATCTGTGGAAAGAGATACTTTCCCAGATATCATTCAATGTAATATTTTGGTTTGTATTTTTGATTTTCAGGGCATCAAATTGATTTAGTCATGAAAGTGATAGGCTTTGTAACCTCAAGTAGACAAAGGTATACGTTTTTCAGGTTGTGCTTACAATACAGCTCAAGAATGACCACCAGTTGATCTGTCTCAAGTAGTAATAGAGGACAATTTTGTGAGTTTGTTCTGGATATGATTCTGTTGAAAGGATACACACCTGTTTAAAGTATGCTGCCTTGCATGAAATTGGTGATGGCACCTGGACTTCTACAATAGAATTTGAGATGTGGGAATTCCTAAAAAATGTAAGCATGGTATATGCACTCTGGATGCCAGTGTCTTGCTGAAGACATTATCCCTAGTAAAAGGCAACAGGTGTGCAATAGATTTATCGAAAATAGTTTTTTTCTTAAAATTTTATCTTTAATAACAAACATTCACAAAAACTCCAGTTTATTTAATTTGCTAACTTTTTTTTCGCTTCGGGGATAGTGGCCATGGTTTCTGTTTACTTTGCACCTACGCAGAAGCCAGCATAGGAGATCCTTATTTATGAATGCACGTCTTAGCTGTGAAAAACCTACGTCTTTTCTCCAAATGAAAGACTGCCCCTCAGGAGAATAGTCTGAACCCAGGAGGCGGAGGTTGCGGTGAGCCGAGATTGCGCCACTGCACTCCAGCCTGGGTAATAAGAGCGAAACTCCGTCTCAAAAAAAAAAAAAAAAAAAGAAAAAGAAAAGACTGCCCCTCTTTGGTCCTGCTTCCTACTGATGACTCCCTCCCCCTTACTTCTTTACACTTGCTGCCCTGCTGTGGCCTTTCATTTCTTCTGAGTCCTTACCCACAAACCCTTCCAAAGGAGATGAAAAGAGAGAAAGTTGAAGGACTTGTGAATGCAAAGGAGATGGGAAAGGTGGTGAGAAGCTGGTGGTCCAAGCTCTTTCCCGCATCTCCGTGCACCCACATCCCGCTTGCCCACTCCTTCGCTGGAGTCCGCTCTCCCACGGCGCCCTGCCGTCCTAACCTTTCCTCCAGGTCTGGACAAGCAGAGTGTTCACTTTTCACTGCACATGCCGCGTCTGGAGACACCTTCCTCCCCAAAGTTCACACCATGACCTTTACCCTTCAAAGTCTGCCTTGAGCCAAGAGAGCCCCCACTTTCATTGCCAGAAAGGAAGGTTTTGGGGTTCTTGGGATCTCTAAAGGAAATGGGAAAAGCATTTTTTGGCGCAAGTATCACTTGGGCAGTGGATTCTATGGTATTTTCACTGCCGTTTTAGGTAGAGCGTGAGTCAAAAAGAGTTTAGTTGAAATTTGCCCTGAGACTATCGTGTGTGTGATTTTTAGTGTGGGAAACTACCTTTCTCTTTCTCACAACAGACTTATAATCCAACTTTTGGAGTTCAACAAGTTGATATAAGTTGGAGGATAATCTATGCTCAAACTTTGAGAACAGACTTGGTAGAACACTGGCATTTCACAAAAATTGTAGCTCGTTAAAAATCTTAGGTGAGGTATTTCCTTTCAACATGAATGTATTGAGAAAACATTTGACATCTTGTTAAGTGCTATTGAGGGCCAACATTCTTTGGAGTATGATGATCTATGAAGGAAGATCAATAGGGAATTATTTTTAAATAATTTGGATTTAGAACATTAATACTCCATGAAATTGGAGGGTTAAGAGTCGTTTCAAGGGGCAGTTTCATTGCCGGGGTAGCACAAACATATTCAAAAAATGTGTCATTATGAAGGATGAGTAAAATAACTTTTTCACTAAAATGGGGAGGCATTTCCCTCAAATCTGAGGTAATTTCAAAGAGTTTGATTTTCAGTGATGAGCCTGAATAATAAAAGCCACCACCCCAATATACACAATTCAGTTTTTCTGGTTGCCTAAAACATACTAATTCTGATTATTCCAAGTGCATTTTCAGGGAAAGACTTTTGCATTTCACAGGGGTCATGTAGAGTGTGTGGCACTGGGTCCTACACCCTGTGGCTGGGACACCCTTTCGGTGAGTGCTGGGAGTTATTCCTTCTCTTTTCACAGAGCAGCTCGCCCAAGACCATGGTACAATCTGTTGTTCTTATGTAGTTAATAATTGAGACAAGATGGCACCTGCTTACTGACCGCAAGTCATGGTAATAGAATGTGCATGTCACCTCGACACTGGAAATTCTTTTGTGGTTTGTGTCACTGCTTGCTCGTTCCAGGAGGCTCATCTTTGAAGAGACATTGAAAGGACAGCCAGTGCTATTTGTCTTCCTGTTTATGGCCTCCACGTGGGGTCAGGGAAAGGCAGAACTGTGATGGACCTAACCCAAAAGAAGCATAGGGTCCTATCTGGTGAACACTTTGCACAGCAGGAAGTATGGGTGGAGGCAGGGGGAATAAAGAGAGAGACGGAGAAAGAGGAATAAGGTGACTCTGTGGTTGTTAGTACCTAGGCGGAGTCAGGGCACCTCGGAGCAGCCTATTGCTGTCTCTCTACACACAGGTCCTGCTTTTACTAATATCTGAATACACAGATCTCCTGGATTGCTCTTGTACTCTTTTTCCTGCTCCTCAGTATTTTGTTCAGCTGTATTTTCATTTTTCTTCCCACGTTCCCTGTGTCATTGGTGGATTTCATGAAGATGATTCTCTTAGCTTCTGGCCTTGGTAACGCAGCTCCTTGTATTTATGACTTCTCCATCCTCTCTTTGCTTCCTCCTCTTTCTCCTCTCAGTCCAGTTGCACATCTTATCCTGTCTTCCATGTTCTAAGCTGATTCACTGGCTCCTTTCTTTCCTCTTCACCTAAAGCAGCCTGTGGGAGTCCTCTGTCCCTGTGCAGTGGGGACATCTGATTCTGCGTGTGTGATGCCTTTACCAGCATTTACTGTTGCCCCTACCCTTTTGCTTTACGGACCGTGATTTCTGCTTCCTTTCTTCTTCTTTTTCTACCTTGTCCTCTTTGCTTCCATGTTATCGAATGCCGATACAATGCAGTTGGCAAAGTGAACAAAACGAACGAGACATGTGTGACCTCTCACCTCCAGGAATTTATAATTTTACGGAAAAGACAGATGAACATCTGTAGTACCACATACTAAGTGATGCAATTTAGTATGTGGTACTAGAGATGTTGAACTAAACGGCTCAAAGTTTGCATTGAGCCTTCTAGTTCAAGTACTTCTGGCTTTATCATGTTGCAGCAAAGCCATTTGTGGATGCTTCTAATGGAAGCGTCCTTCTGCTTTGACCTGGCATTGTAGATCTCACTGTTCATTCATGTGCCTCATGTCTCATCCGTGTCGTGAGTCTTTCAAATAATGACATTCTTTTTTTCCATAACCATCCAAGGTGGAATTAATGACATTCTTAAATAGATATTTAGAGTACACATCTGTTTTGCCATGTGAGGGGCTTTGGTGCCTATTACACACAGAGGGGAGGAGGAGGCACCTGACTTCGGAGCACTTATGATGGGCTGGGAATTGTGCTAGGCATTAGGCATGAAATGGATACGTCACTGCTCTTACTTTTTAGGAGTTCAGCATGTAGGAGAAAAGACAGAGAAGGAAACCCGCTGTGATTACCTAGTGGCAGGTGGCTGTGCTGGAGGTGTGCTCAGAGGACCGGGCGAGTAAAGACTGGATT